AGCAGAAAGAGTTTTTGTAATTGATAATATTAATTTTAAGGATATTGTTTTTTAATATAGCAATATTTATGATATTATAAGGCAATCTGCATATGCTACTCTTAGACTGGTGTTTAGTTTGAACTTCTATTTGAATTGTCGAGTTTTGTTCAAAAAACATTAAAATCTGGAATCTCAAAAAATTTGTTCAGTAAATCAAAATTTACAACTGAATAGGAAATAAAATTTGACTAAATAATAAGACAACTATTAAATAAAAATAAAAGAAATTTTGGAATTAAAGAGATTGATGCAGAAATATTTGCTAATATCAAGTCAGAATGTCAAGTAAACCTACCAAATCTTGTTATACTAGAATCTAGGCCAGCATCTAATAATAATAAAATCATATTCGAGTCAATTGACATATTTTTAAAAAATCTTGGTCAAGATATCATTGATTTAGCATGTAATGCCACTATTTTTAGCAGAACTAAATTATATAAAATAAAAATTTAACTTGCTAATTTATTTTTGGGTAGTGGCATATATCGAAAGCTATGTGTAGTACTTTAATTGCTATATTTAGCAGATACAGTTTATATAGTATAGCAGCAAAACTTGGTATTAAATTTTTTGATAAGCTAGAGCAAAATGTAGATTATTGTTCAACCTGCAATATATTAGAATTAATACATGCTGCTATAGGTATAGCAATTCATCTTTATCTAAAAAAAATAATATGATACAAGAAAAGATAAATAATATAGTATTAGAAAATGTCATAATAAATAAAAGCAATAATACCATAAAAGTTTGGTACTTATATTACTATTTAGCTAGATATTGGAAAGCTCATCATGTGGAAATTCGTTTAGGAAATATAAATATGCAATTAAAAAGTTTGGCAGTATTTGCATCTCTATTTTCTGTTATTAGGAAAAGCAATTATGCAATGTCAGTAATATTCTTTTTAGAATCGATATTATGCTACCTACAGCAATATGAATTGTTTAAATATGTTGCTTTAGTAAATCTTACCAAGAAGAATCACTATCTAGCTTTTTATAAAACTCTGGAACAATATAGCATGAAGTTTATCAAACAAAATTTAACTTTTGGCTTATCAGATTCAATACTTTTAAAATAACAAATTGTAGCAATTCAGGATAAATGTGAAAGAATACTAATATTATATAGTAAATTTGTATGTGATAATATAATAATTCCAAAAGATCAGGCAATTAAACAGTATATGGAAGTTTTATAAAAAGTTGTCGATAATTTTACTTGTATATTCAATTTTACAAACTCAAGACAACATAATCTCTTCAAACACATACAAAAAATAAACTATCATAGTTATACACGAATATTCACTTTCTATGAAATTGAGCTTAATCGATTAAATAAACTTCTACAAGAAAAAGTATATAAAACTAAAAAAGCAACTAAAAAAAGATAACTAAAAATCTCATTAGTATCTTAGCCAAAGAATGTAAATTGGCAGTAAAAAATAATACATAAGATATAACTATACATATCTTTAAGTATCTTTTAACTATTAAAAAAAACTTAGTGGCCTATCTTTTTTTTAAAAAGAATCCAGTAATAAAACTAAAATTCATACTTTTTTTAAAATTTTTTTTGTTTTTTAAAAAAATAAAATATATGAATTAAAGTAATAACTAATAATTATATAATCATAAAACTTGATTAACTTTTGCTAATATACAAAAGTTATATATTTAAAGATTATGTATAGTCTACTGAAAATTTAAAAATTTCAATATGTTGAATAGCATAATTTTTTTTTTTTTTTTACGCATTTAAGCATACTTT